AGACATTTTACTCATATGGTTGCCGGAGTACACCAGAATATTGATGGCGATTGTAAAGCTGGTGAACTGACAAGGAATGGTATGCCCACCCAAAACCTTCCGGGACACGGTAGATATAGCAATAGCCAATTTCAAGCAGTTTGATAGAGATTACACCAAGGAACGCTGGAACAACTTTTCACCTTGCGAAACTTTCATGGTTACCTGGTATTGCTATAAAAAGAAGCGCTTAAGGGCAACTTCCTAATGTGGAATCAGAATCTGTATTAACCTGTGTGACATGTAGGAACGAATCGAAAAAGTTACCAAATTGAAAAATAAATTACCAAATTACTAATTTTGAGAAATAAAGAAAAAAATTACCAATTTTGGTAAAAAATTACGAAAGCGGCAACGCTGATTCCAACCATTGCATTAAAACAGCGCATGGTGTAGTGTGGTGAGAGAAGAATCGAAACAGCGAGAGTATTCAGTTGCTGTTGGAACCAGTGTTGCCGTTGTGCGACTAAAGGGGCAATTTTACCCTTTTAAGCGTCAATACCCTTTGATCCGACTTTTTGAAAATTTAGATTTTTTGACCCTTTTCCAAAATTGGGTACGACTTTTGCCCCCTCTCAGAGATTTTTTAGGAATTGTAATAGAACCATGCTATTAGAAAATATTTCCTCCTGTAAGAATGAAAAAATGCAATACTTATAACTTCTAAAGGAAATGCAATTCTTCTCCCTACAGCAACTAGATTTATGTGTATGTTTGCAACCCTGTTTTGTGTAAAGCTTGTCGCGCTATTTTCTTTTTAAGCAGATTTATTCTTCTACTAGTAAAGAAGAGCAAAAATAATACTAATATTTTTTCGTCAATGACCCCTTTTTTGCGACTTTCTGAAAATTCTCAACGGCAACACTGGTTGGAACACTCAACGGGTGGGGTTGCGCTCGCGCTTTTGTAAAATTGTTTAACCGCAATAAAAGCGCAAGATATATACATAGAAGGTCGCGCAATGCGCGAAATAAAAAATGGCTCTCTCTGCGCATATGGTCCCAGGGCGATTTTTTGCTTTCACGCCTTCATGTCGAAAAAGCCACAAATCCTGATTTTTCGCAGCGGCCAATTTTTGCGAAATTTTTCACTTAAACTCGCTATATCTCAGACGTTTACGTATCGATTGATTTGAAATTTGTACACAATAAACTAGATACTATTCTAAAGAAGATGAGTCGAACTACACTTCTTAATACTTATTAAAACAAAATGGCGGATATTTTAACTTTTTTATAAAAATTAAGGAGGCGGTTTTTACAAATGCAAAAGTTGTGTTATGAAGTTTAAAGTTTTTGTTTTGTTTTAATGCAACAGTATAGACAAATATATACGGACATTTTTGGGACAGTTTCATGTTTAGAGAACAAGTAGTTCTAAAGTTATAACAATATTATGGTGACACCCACTAGCGGGCGCTCGCCTCTAGATAACAAATATTTTTACATAGCACTTGTACAAGTAATTTTGGAAGTAATATTAAGTGAAATGTTGAAATTCATAAATTTATCGGTGTAATATAACTTGTTAAAGCTCTTTGTTATAAATTTAATAGACATACTAACATACCTACATATGTATGTATGCATATAATTACACACATAGAAAATAGTTATTAGTACAGTGATTGTTTTACAATATTCGCAATGTTTTAAATAATAAATTTTTCGTTAATTTTTCACGAAAATACTTTTCATATTTTAACAAAAACTATATGCATAAAATTTTCAAACTTTTTGGAAAGTTTACACAGTACACAAACTTTCATCAAAATTTTTAATAACGGTTTTTAGAAAAAATTTAGTATGCAGTGTTGTAGCTCATTCAATTTCAGTGAATGAAATGCAAGCTTCAAGTCGCTTCAAATTACCTTTGATTTTTTAGAATTTGTTTCTCAAGGGTGTTACATATTTTCTTCCATGAACAAAATGTAGTTTTGCATGGAAGAAAACCCTCAACACCATTGAAAAAAAAAATATCAAAAATCAACGCAATTTTTAGCGACTTGAAACTTGCACTTTGTAGCACTGAAAATGAATGAGCTTCAAAACTACATACTAAATTTTTTTCCAAAAAATCTGAATCAAAAGTTTGAAATATACAAAGATGAAAATTTGTAGAATTTTTTTAAGTATTGCAAAAAGTTTGAAAATTTAACTCGTATGGTTTTTGTTAAAATATGAACTATATTTTCGTAAAAAATTACCGAAAAACAATCACTGCACGAATAACTATTTTGACTATGTATGCAGTTACATGCATACATATGTAGGTTTTTTTTATACAAGGAAAAAGCATCGAAAGCCTGTACCCCGTAGTGTGGAACTTTAATCCAAACTAAAACTCTATGTATGTCCGCTGTACCGTATCCCCCCGGTACCACTGTAAAGTATTTCATCGGAAGGCGGTTGAGCCTAAGCTCGATCGTACGTTCCTGTTCTGATGCAGGTAGGTATGTAAGTACATATGTCTATTAAGTTTATAATAAAGAACTTTAATAAGTTATATAACACTGATAAATTTTTGAATTCCAACATTTCACTTAATATTACTTCCAAAATTATTTGTGCAAGTGCTATGTAAAAAAATTTGTTATCTAGAGGCGAGCGCCCGCTCGTGGGTGTCACCATAATATTGTTATAACTTTAGAGCTACATATGTATAACATATTTGAAAATTCAAATTCAACTTGAATTATAGGAATTAGGTAATTGGAATGCATATGTATCTATCTCAATATGAGTGTCAGACGAAAGAGGTTTAAATAGGTTTCCGACTGTTCAGAAATTTAAATCCAAACTACATATCGTCACTTGAAATGCAAAAAGACGTAACAACATCGTAACTTAAATGTAAAAAGTCGTGACTAATAATTTTTTTTTTTCATAAAATTACGTGGGAGTTGTAATTCTATGAAATATGATGGGCAAGTCTTGCACGATGCACGGATTGCATAACTTGCAAACACACAACACACTTTTGGAAATTAGGCGTGTATGTATATCTAAAGTACATTAGGAGTCTGTACCTAATTATACCTTTCATGAGCATGGAATGGTATTATAACTTTGGTCCGATGTTTGTAAGTACCAGAATAAGAAGAGATAGACCCATTAAAATCTATACTTAAATGATCAGAACGGCGAGCTGAGTCGATTTAGCCATGTCCGTCTGTCCGTCTGTCTGTCTGTCTGTCCGTCTGTTTGTATGCAATCTAGTCTCTCAGTTTTCGAGATATCCGGATCAAATTTGGTAGGTGGGTGTATTTTTATAATGTATTAATCATTTGTCGGAACCGGAATAACATATAGCTCCCATACAACTGATTGTTCAGATATGTGATTTTTCATTATAACTTCTCTATTTATGCAGCTAGGAACATGCAATTTTGCAATACTTCCACCCATTATCAACAGAAAACTTAGAGTGAAAATTACAAAGATCGGGTCACTATAACCTATAGCTCTCATAGAACTGATTGTTCAGATATAAGATTTTTCGTTATAACTCCTCCCTTTAAGTAGCTAGATACATGAAATTTTGCGCTGTTGTCACTTATTATCAAAAGAATACTTTCCGTGAAACTGGCGAAGATCGGGTCGCTACAACCTATATCCACCATACAACTGATTGTTCAGATATAAGATTTTTCGTTATAACTCCTCCCTTTAAGTAGCTAGATACATGAAATTTTGCGCTGTTGTCACTTATTATCAAAAGAATACTTTCCGTGAAACTGGCGAAGATCGGGTCGCTACAACCTATATCCACCATACAACTGATTGTTCAGATATGACATTTTTTGCCATAACTTCTTCATTTATGCAGCTAGGACCATCAAAATTCGCACCGTTTTTACTCATTATTAACAGAATACTTACAGTGAAAATAACAAAGATCGGGTCACTTTTACATAGAGCTCCCATACAACTGATTGTTCAGATATGCGATTTTTTTTATAACTACTCCATCTATGCAGCTAGAAACATGAAATTTCGCACTATTTTCACTCATTATCAACAGAAAGTTTACAGTAAAATTAACAAAGATCGGGTCACTATAACCTGTTTATTGCCCCCATACAACTGATTGTTCAGATATTGGGTTTTACTGTAAAACTCCTTTATTTAGACAGCTAAAACCGATAAATATCGTAAGCTATTTTTTAAATAATAATACAAAGTCTGCTGAGAAAATCGTCAAAATTTATGCTGCATAAGCTTTATTTCTTGTACCACTGATTGTTCAGATACCAGTTTTTGCGATATATGTATCTCCTTTATGTAGGAAGCTAAACCCATTAAATTGTGTTACCGGTTTACGTACCGATCACACAGCAGTGAAAATCACTTAGATTGGTGCTATATAAGGTATATCTTCCATACCTCTGATTGTTTAGATATGATTTTTTATATATGTATCTCCACTATCTATGCCTGCTGTAAATATATAAATTTATTCAAATGCAGTAATCTGTTAAAGTAAAATTTTCAGATGCTCATGAAAGGTACGAAGCCTTCGGCATAGCCAAACAGCGCTGCTCTTACTTGTTTTATATTGACACTGCGCTTGTGGCTTCCATAATTGCCATCTTGAAAATGTTTGAAATCGGACAGAAACTAAGGGCGTTGTAGCCGTAATTTCAGAAAACTTAAAGTTGGCGATATTTTAGAAGTCGTGGTTCTCTGCACGAAGTTATGTTTCAGGCGTATTTCGCTTTTTTTTGTAGCCCAGTGTTGTTCCTTATTTTGCTCTCTTAGAATTGCTTTCCACGGACGTATTTTTCTAGCACCTAAGGTCATTATGAAGAGATCCCCGAATCGAATTTTTACCTCCATGCCAGACAAATATATTTTTTGTATACAGACACCTTAGATACTCGGCTATCCTTAGATACAATATTACATATTTTGTTTCACATTTAACTACTACGTTAAATTAAAATAAATTAATTTTTGCAGATAAATTGGACGGCTCATTTTCAAGATCCAGATCATCATCTATGTCAAGTATTGATATGTCTTCCTCTGAATCTGTGACAAGTATAGCTTTCATTGAAAGTTATGGAAAGAAAAGTGGTATGTACCTTTATTTATATACAAATATGTTTATTTTTGCGATTTGTGCTTTTCCTAAATAATGGATTTTATTTACACAGTACCACAAAAAAAACAAGTCACAGAATGCACCCAAAACAAAATTTAGTGTAGGTTGTAGCAGGTAGGGTCGAGTACAACATGGAAATAGATATCTTATAGTTCCTGAACCCGCCTTCTTTATTTAAACCAAAAAAAAAAAACTTCCATTTTTAAATATGTTTTGAAAATGTATAGAGCTCTAAAATTATGTATAAATATCTATTGTTATACCTACGAGTAGATTGTTGGGAATTTTCACCGGGTGAATTTGAAAAAAAAATCCTATTAATACATCTTTGACCATCGCTAATTTCAAAAATTTCTCTGAAAGTGGCCATATATGTGCCATTGTCCTCTTCTTTCTTAAATTCTGCCTGAATTTCAAATATGTATGATTCAGAGAACCTAAATAAAAGTTATTTTCAAATAACTCAAATTTAAAACGGGCTCTATAAAGAAAACCAGCCTATTTTCACTTCGCGTCAAATGAGTCAAATGAGTGATGTGTTTATATCTGTTTTCTAACCGATGCACTAAGGTGTATTTGAGCCAAAAACCCGGTCAAAATTATTTAGGGGCCTATATTATCTCAAAATATAATAAAAAACAATATTTAATCAATATTTTGGATTTATTAATAAAAATACATAACAAAAAAACTTTTAAGTAACAATTTTTGATTTTATTCGGAGTCAGTGCCATCCGATTCGCTGTTGTTTCTTACTACGACCCAACTAACACGCTACAGAGGAAGAACAGTACCCTGGTTGACGAATTGTATAAAAGCAGAATTATTGACTATAGAGGTAAACAACTCGTATGCACAGCAGCGATTGCACCTAGACTTTACGGACTTCCAAAGATCCACAAACCAGACTTGCCTTTAAGGCCAATTTGTTCGTCCATCAATGTTCCGTGTTATGGTTTGTCCAAATATGTAGGTAAGATTCTCAGTAGCCTAATTTCTGAGGAATACAATATAAAAAATGCGTTTAGATTAAAAGATAAACTGGATAAAATAAAAGTAAGTGAGGAAGAATTGCTGGTGTCCTTTGATGTGGTATTTTTGTTTACCAACATTCCAGCCATTAATATCATCATGTCAAAATGGAGCACAATTAAACAGTCGACGAACATCTCCAAAAATAAATTTCTAAATATCCTTAATTTCTGCCTGAAGGATAACAATTATTTCGCGCACAACGGAAAATTCTATGTACAAACCTTTGGAATGCCGATGGGAAACCCACTCTCACCTACTATTGCTGACATTATAATGGATGATTTACTGAACGCAACTATGTTAGAACTTAAGGAAAACTTTGAAATTAATATAGAATTAATAGTAAAATATGTGGATGACATTTTGGCCTTAGTTAAACGAAACGGTGTCCACATATTGAAAACACTTAACAAATATCATAAAAAATTGCAGTTTACAATGGAAACAGAAACTAACCTCCAGATTCCATTTTTAGACGTTATGATCCATAGAAGAAATGACTTTTTGATATTTGACTGGTATTCGAAACCTACATCATCTTGACGTTTAATTAATTATTTGTCGTCACAACCCTCAAAGTACAAAATTATTACTGCCAACTGCCAATATAAGAGTATTACATATATGCCTTACGCATTGTTGACGATATTTCCATTTGAATTAGGAAACAGCATCATTTACTTTTTTTTCAAAGTTTTTTACTTTATTTCTCTTTTGAAAAGGTAATAACGTCAATTTATTTTATTCGCATCACTATGAGAAATAGTGTCAATTGACTTTATTTCCGTTGCTTTTGTTACCTGTCACCGAAATCACATCAGATTGCATCGCATTACCTGCCATCACATCTTATCACGTCTTCTCACCTCACATCTTCTAGGTGAATATGTAGATGAAGAGAAGGATAAAATCAAAGATATAAAACATAAAAAATTAAGGTCAAGGTAAATTTAAAAACTGTTTAAAGATAAAGGAAAACGGAATAAAATAAATTTAATTAAAACGAAAATAGTAGTGCTAGGGATAAAGATAGAAAACAAGTAATTTTTAGGCAATTAACAAAACCCACTTCAATTCTCATATATATATATATATATATATATATATATATATTTCATGATCCAATGATCGTATCTAAACCAGATTAGTATGAGACCACCTCTGAGACACTACCTTTCCGATGCAAAAAGAATTATCGAAATCGGTTGACGTGGTCCAAAGTTATGCGGTAACATCTATACATAGTATAAAGGAAAGACGAGATTTTTTGTACGCGGTAATTACGAAAACTACTTAACGGATTTTGACGAGATTTTCTGTAATATACTCTGTATCGATAGGAGAGTGACTTTTTTATTTAGAACTTTAATGGGGTTGCCACCTGTCTAAAAATCTATAAGATCCGCACCGTTCGTTGGATTACAAAAAATGAGGTGTCAAATGAAAGCGATTGGTCTCTAGAAAATCACTAATGTCTTATTTTTTTTTAATAGGGTTGCCACGTGTTAATAAAATCACTATTTTCAATCCTAATCACGGTTGCCGTTTTGGTCCAAATGGACCAAATTGGATCATTTTTTTTCGTTTGGTCCATTGGTCCAATAATTTTTCAAATGGTCCATTTCGCAATGCTTTGGTTAGGTTGTTATCACCCTTTCACTTCATGCAATAGTTTTAAATTTTTTCTATTTAATTGATGAATTTTGGCAACACCTGCTAAAAGTTTGAATAAGCCACTGATCTTCAAATATGGCACCGCTAATCATCTGTCAAAGCATGCTTAAAAAAATTCCGCGGTTCCTTGCTAATTTCATTTTAAATGTTCCTTTGAATTTATGTATTTATGCCGAATTTCCATTAGGCATTGAAATAACAAAAAATGTATGCCATTTAAAAATGCCATATGGAAATGAACTTAATGATTACTTTTTTAATGTAATGACAATATTATTCGTTAATTTTTTTTTTTCATTTGTCATTTTTGCCATTTAATGCCTAGTGAAAATCCAGCATTAGTTTTGAAAACTTGTAAGTACATGTATATACCTGAGAGTGTGTTCTTTATTTCTTTATTAATATGTACATATGTACATTCAATTTAGCCTAGGTAGATATTATAAATGTTTATTTAAAAAATATTTAATATGTAAAAAACGTGTTAAAACCTGAATTGGCATATTTTCTTGATAAAGAGCAACAAACTGCACTCAATTTTCCGATGTTATAGAAATCGGTACATTTTTTACCATTTGGTCCATTTTTTGGACCGAAAAAGAAAATGGAAACGACAACCGTGATCCTAATAAGCGTAATAGACGTCAGTTCTGCACCGTCACTGTCAAATGAAACGACTTAGCTTCTAGATGTGTAATAATGTATTATTTTTCTGAGTCAGGTTGCCACCTGTTTAAAAACTATAAGATCTTCACCGTTCGTTGGATAAAAAAATGAGATACCAAATGAAAGCGCATGACCTTCACATGTACAAAAACTTTAATTTTTTGAGTAGGGTTGCCACCTATTTAAAATTACTATCTTCTATACATAGTGCAAAGGAAAGGCGAGATATTCTGACCACGCAACTGAACGGATTTAGACAAGATTTTTTAAGTATATCTATAATAAATGAAGTACATGATGACATATGATTTCTTTCTCTAAATACGTACATGTACATACGTATGCATACATTTAGCGCGTGGCGAAGCGCCGACGAACTGATAACCTCCTCCATTTTTGGAAGTCGGTTAAAAAGTATACTGGCAGGGTCTGCAATTCACTTCCGAGTGAATTTCAACCCTAAGCTTATATGTAACATTAATACGCATACAGTGAACCAAATAAAAACTGGGATGCGACATTTTAGTTTCGTTTAGTTTAGTTAATTTAATGTTTATTATTTTTTTATTAAAGTATAGCTGATTACTTAACAAACACGACAAAAATCAAGAAAAAAAATTCAGAGTTTGTGCAAAAATTATGAAAATTCTGCAAAGTTTGACCTAAGTTTGTAACTTTCTGCACTCAATTGCATTTTTATATACTACTTTACTGTCAATTCAGCACTTCATTTAGTAGTTTACATAGATAGAGTCCAGTTAAATCGAATGTTGTTTGTACAAATTTACATACCTTCTTATACAAAATAGAAAAAAGAGAAAATTAATAACTACAGTACTTAGCAAAAGTTAGTTTACATATGGTAAAAATTAGGGATGTGCTGGATAGAGATTTTGCCGGATAACCGGATTCCGCATACCATGTAAAAAATAAGAGCCAGATTCGGATATCCGATCGGATATCCGGAAGACTGCTGCCCTTTATAAATTTCCCAATATTGTTACAATACGAAAATAGGAATACAAAATTTCTTCTCTGAAATTCAAGTTTTAAAATAATCTTGTATTAAAATAAGACTTTTCCCTCTTCAACCCTGATTTATAGATTACATAGGCCTGCGAAATTATTTTTTTTTTAATTTTTTGAATATCTCGGTGCATTAAATTTAAATGCATATTTGGCTTTTTTCTAGCACGTCGAAATTTTTTTTGTTGGTGACATATATATTTTAGGATTTTTAGCAATTTGCATGAAAAGCCAAAAATTAATAAATTTAGAAATAAATTTTTAATCAAAAACCAACAGTATTAGTTAAAAATACCCATAAATTGACTAAGTAAATTAGAAAAACTTCTGTAATTTCGAAATTAACGGTGAGAAAAGTGATAAAAGTTATTTTCTTAGCGTTAACGCGCATTACTAGCGTTAACTTCTAAATTATGGGTACTTTTAACTAACGCTGTTGGTTTTTAAGCAAATATTCAATTCTAAATTAATTAATTTTTGGCTTTTCATGCGAATTGCCAAAAACCCTAAAATATATATGTCATCAATAAAAAAATCTCGACATGCTAGAAAAAAAAACCAAAGATGTATT